GCGTGTACTACAGAGTATATAGCTAGAGCCTGCGGCCCTCCACGCCACATACCCTTCGGGAGGTCTGCCGCAAGGGCGGCCGCGCCCTTGCCGCCATGGCGTTAAATATTAAACAAACAAACAAACAAACAAACAAACATTGAGTCTGTATGATTCGACGACGCTGGGCAGCAGCATCACTTCATGCCCGTTGCGCGGCCTCGCCACTCTAAGAAGCTCAGGAAAAGGTTACTTGCTCAACATCCGACGAGCATCTCGACTACGAATCTAGGAAAATCAAATCGTGTATCGAAACCAAGGCACGTTGTCGGCCAGCTCAGCCTCCATCGCCTTTTGCTCTTCCGTCAACTCCTGTACGCCAGCTTCCCTGGCTACAAGGTCTCGGCGAGCGTTCTCGCGACGGCACCAAGTCGTCATGAACAAAGTCAAGAAGAATGCCATGCTGAGTTCTAGGCGTTAGCAGCTGTAAGTTGATTTTGTGTTGGGTGCCCTCACCTGACAAAACCGATGAGAATGCTGTGTCCAGTAGTGTATCGCGGCCCGTCTCGAGAGAGGTAGACATATGAGGCGATGATGCCACCACAGTTACCACCCATCACCTGCATTGCGATACCCGTTCCTCTTTTGAGACTGCCGCCAATGTTGCTGCTGTTCCACGCCATACCAAGGGGAATTTGGGGGTAGATTCCTACGGGAAAGGTCAGCTACCTGTGCCCGACGGGGTGATGGAGCTTCCGTTATCTTACCAATGGCTGCGAAGACGGTCCCGGCGTACTGTGCAGAAGAGTTTCTGGTAGCCACCAAAAGGGAGAATCCCAGGATTCCAACGAGCTGGAAGCCCAGCAGGAACACCCCACGCTGCCTGATCCTATCGGCGTACCAACTCGCAATGATGGTAAAGAAGCAGGCGCAAACATATGGCGGCACACTCATCAATTGCGCATTGTTTGATGTGTAACCCATATTCTTGATGATGGTCGGCAGGAAGAGCGCAATCGAGTAGATGGGACAGAAGCCGGCCATGCAAATAAGCATGTGGATGTAAATCTTCCAATCCTTGATGGCTTGCCACACATACTTGACGTTGAACTCGTTTGACAAATGTCCCGAATCTTCTTGGAGCCGTCTTTGGACCTCGGTGCGTTCCTTTTCACTGAGGAATCGGGCGCTATATAATGGTCAGCTCATGGTTTACAACAGAGGCTGCAGCTCAACTCACGTCGCTGGGTAGTCGTAAATTGCCCAATAGGCAGTAAACGATACCAAGATGCTGAGGATTCCTTCCAAGATGAAGATCCATGCCCATGCGGAAAGTCCCCCTACACCATGCATCTCTGCAATGCCTCGCGCGAGGATACCACCAAAGGCACCGGCCAATGTTGCGGCCGAGAAGAACAATGCCATTCTGAAGCCGCACTCGTGTCGGCAGTACCACTGCGTGATGTAGTAGTTGACTCCCGGAAACAGGCCTCCCTCGAATACCCCTAGAACCACTCTAGTGGCCATAAGCCCTGAGTAGTCCTTGACGAACCCTTGTCCAATCATTGCCGCCGACCAGCAAACCATGATGAAGGTGAGCCAGATGGACGGCCTGAGGCGTTTCATCATCATGTTGCTCGGAATTTCGGCCGCGATATAGAACGGGAACAAAACAGCCAGGCAGTCATTGTATTGAATTCCATGCAAATTCAGGTCCTGTTCGAGGTGGTCGAGTCGGGCGTTCCCGATGTTCGTCCGATCTAAGAAGCATAATCTGTGCTGCAAATTAACATTGCATATTCCCGAGACGGTGGAAAATTGTGGGAACATCGATCGATGTAACAGACTTACAGGTAGATCAGCGACATGAACGGGATGATGTGCCAATCAAGCTTCCGCAAAAGCTTCTTGGTGGAGTGCATGTCCCATGTTTGCGACTCTGCGAGCTCGACTGACTCTGCGCGAGTTGCCGTCTTTTCCGACTTCAAAGCGCTGTCGGTGTCCATAGTGAGATTTCACTGGATATCGTAGCACACCAAAGCCAGAACAACGACGAGTGATGGGCAGACGGCCTGGATACAAGTATTCAACATTTCCGCGGAGGAAAACGACTGCCGAGGCCAAGCTTTTAACCCCCATACTCTACCCCGATGCCAATGTTGCCAATGTTGAGTGATCCCCTCCCTGTCAGCATCAAAAAAGAGGCGTCTTATCAAAGCCCTAGCATATTGCCACCCGCGCGCCCAATAGATCTTACTGAGACATGAGAGGCTAGCCCTGAAGGATCACTGATGGAACATGCAGGTCAGACAGGAGGTCGTACAGGTGTCGCTTTCTGGCCAATTGATCCAGAACACAGCATGCATCTCACAAACTTTACCGGTGATCAAGGGAAAGAGGAGAAAGCGCTGCGGGCCGATGTACGGGGTCCAATAGACTCAAGAGATCGTTGCAACCTTCCCGAAGCGGGGATGGGACTGGGGTAACATCGCGGGAAAGGCGCCCTCGCCGTTACTAGTTGCGGTTGGTACATGGCCCTTCTGTTGCAGGAGAAGCGCCTCCTCAGAAGCACGTCTTACGGCGCAAAGCGATAGGCATGTCAGTCTTTCGGAAAAGTGTCCAATTGAGGGATGGGCGTAGGCACGCCTGGAATGCATGGTCATGAATAAGAAACGTGTCGGGCTGATAGGCAACTGTAATGGGTAAGGCTCTCGGTCGTTGACATGTAATTTGAGGTCTTTGATTCGGCTGACAAGCACGAAAAGCAAAAAGCGGTAAGTTTCTCGCAAGGGACAGCGTGGCCTTCAATAGCCACGTGTGTGTTGCAAGAGGCCTGGAACATCATCTGTGGCAAACGAGGGCTCGACTGATTGGAAAGCATTTTGAATCTAAATATTATTTATAGCAGGGCTGAGATTTTTTGGGTAGAGAAATTGGGCGTATCGAGAACTTTGGGCTCGCTGGCCCCTTTCGAGCAGGGTGTGTGCATTGTGGTTGAGTCACTGGACGCGCCGTTGGCCTAATTTGCCATGAGGTGGCTACTTTGGGTGCAGCAGGTCACACGCAGTCTTTTCCATCTCTACCAAGACTTAGAACTTGATGTTCTTCTTTGCTCTTCGCGTGTCGCAATAATCCTGGAAACTGTTCGTTACCAGACAACCTGAACCTCCCATCCCAGTAAGCAACCGCAATACCGTGAGTCCAGCCATATTGGGCGCCAATGCGCAGCCGATGGTGAAAAGGCAGAAGCATATGTCTGCAGGGCTGATAACGCCTTTCCTACCGTACAGCTCGCACAACGGTGCAAGAATGAGTGGCCCGATGGCGTAGCCCAATAAGCAGATAGTCACGCTCAAGGTGGCGCGAAGAGAATTGGTGTTTCCGAATTATCTGTTGATTGATGGTATTGCAGGCGAGTTCATCGCGGATGCAAATGAAGTGGCTATGCTGATGGAGGATAATATGCCCACGATAAACCAGTTTCCAGACGAGGTAAAATTGCGTGGCATAGCCGGTTCATCCAGGGATTCCCAACCAACGACCCCAGCGCGTAGATCGGATACTGGAATACACTCTACCTCAGGGTTCGTGATCTGTTCAGATCGGTCTTCAGGCATTGTAATCGCCATGATGTGCTGCGGTGCTGACTGGCTAACAAATGCAGATAAGAAGTACCCGACGGCACAGCGACTCGGTGCTGTTGTCTTATACGAATCCCCGGGGAAGAGGATGTGACTCCGATCCGGCATTCGCGGTTGAGCATGCTAGCGATGCTCCACTCGGAAAGGGGTTGACTGTTTTCTCGGAGAAAGTATTACCTCCTCATTGGTATCAAAGAGGCTGAAGACTGTCTGGGCTGTCAACTGTGATTGGCATATCTCACCTGGTCTGTTTGATTGAGGCACTACTATTTGACAGTGTGGTTTCAACTTTGGGCAACTCTGCCATAGTTGGTAATTATTTTGACAAATATCTAATTCTAATTTCCCAGCGTAAGGTATGTAGTCATTCGAGAGAAGAATCGCAGCTTAGTCTGCTCAGCACGTAGTACGTGCCATTCTTCACAAGCCGCGACCGATGTTGCAAAGTGCGGGACGCATCTCTTCCTGAAAACGCAACCGATCTGACACCTGCTCCGGTGGTAGTTTTTGTAAGTATTGCTCTCCTCAGTCCGCCTTTGAAAAGCTGACCAGGGTAGAATTTCGGGGTAACTTTCACCGCAGACCAGGCCTCACATCTGCGTAGTCAAATACATCCCGTTGCAACATTACGTCCAGACATTTTGATCAAGAAATTCACAGAGTTAACGCGGCACAGTTGGGTCCTCATCCCGGACAAAAGACGTATTACTTCTTGACTAGTATGTCATCAACCCTCTGGCTTTTGTACACGGACCTGACTTCAAGTAGTGGGCGACGTCAAAAACCCCAATGACCCAGCGTCATGGGTATTCCAGGTCTCGCTTTCTTACTGGCCTGATGACGCAGAAGAACAGCCCAAGACCCAAGAGGAACGCATGGCGCTGTTCAAAAAGTTGGGATCAAACTACTGCGAGCCCTTCAAGTCAGTGGCCGAATGGGTGAAGCCAGACACACACCTTCCGATTGACCATGTAAGTGCACTCTGCGAAAGACCCAAGGGGATTCAGTGGAAACGCTAACAAGGGACAGTTTGGCTCATGGACGAAAATCCAACGCTGGAACTATTTTGGAGGCCGAGTCCTAATCGCTGGTGATGCGGCGCATCCTATGGTGCCTTGTGAGTCGGGCGTCGCCACGGTCTATAATTCTGGTTGGACTAACACGCGGGTAGACCGCGCACAGGGTCTCAACAACGCTCTCGAGGACGCCGGGTCTTGCGTCCGCACCCTGATCAACGTCATCAATGAAGGGCAAGATGTTGTCGACGCGGTAGCTTCATATGATAAGGATGTGTATGAGCGCGGAAAGTCAGAGATCTGCCTCTCAAACACCCAGATGTATGCGTGCCACCACTGGGACGTCTTGATGGAGAGTAAACTTGTACGGGATGGTTTCGCTAAATGCTGAAAGTCACCGCGGTGATAGTTACTGGTGCATCGGTTCATACAGGAGCGAGTCACATGCTTTAATCAATTTTCCATTAATTAGATTGCACATGAGCTTCACAGCTGTCTACGAGTGCTGTGCTTCGGTTAGTTCGACGTTGAATTTTTATTGACCAATCCACAACCTGCTTTGCCCTGCCGAGTTCCGAACTTCTGTTCCTGCAGATATATCATCTTTTATGAGGCGGTGACACGTTGTAGATTGCAATCTCATACCGATTTCCGAGCTACGTCATGAGTTGTTCTAGTGTAGCCCTACGCCGAAGGGGAAGATTGTTGGAGGGAACGGCGACTTTGCGATGTCAAAGGTTGTCAAGACTTTGAAGATCAACGTCCTCAGTGCGAAGCTTTAGCTTCACTTCTGAACCAGCGCGACCTCAAATCTATTGAAGAAATAGACAATTAGCGAGGAGATAATAATTCACAATAATTAATGAACAATGAATGTACTAGCAAAAATGTCTGTTCGGGGAGAGAAGAAGCTCGGCGCTACGGCCTTTAAGAAAACGACAGGATGCCAGTCTTCAAAACATTCTTGAATGAGCATGATGGACGATAGCCTACTACATATCGCCAAGGCATCAGACGGGCGAGGGCCAAGAGACCAAGGCGGAATTGCGAATTGAATGTTCCCGGTGGATGATTCATGGCGATAAAACATCAAGTTGATAGAATCTCGGCAAGTACCTCCAAAGCTAAGTGCATCTCAAGCCAGGCATCGTGACATTCCCGCGGCTGCAGCCCGGATAACAGCCGGTACTTCGGGAAGCCCCGTGTTTGAGTTTGAATTTTCAGCCCCTGACAGGAACAAAATGACTCTCATTTGTAGCACAGGTTTTCTCAATAGTCCCCAGAAATCACCTTGAATCTATCGATGTTTACGACTAGTTGACGGGCCGTGTTCCGACGAACAGCAGCCCGAATATTGTGTGCATGACAGCGCCTGACCCGCAAGATTGAGATCTCCTGATCGAGTTTCCAAGACATTTCCATCTAAGTCTGCTGTTTGCCGCGGTTTTCCATCCGACAGTAACTTCCAGCGTCTCGTGGCATTGTAGAATACGACCCTGGATGTGTGGAAGCAAATATTAAGGACTACGTCAGCAAGGCACGACACCAATCGAAGCCGGATGTTAATATGAATTATATGAAGTCTACGGAGCGTCAACCTCCGTCGGCCGTGATGTTTTCCCGCTTACCCCGCTATAAAACCAATGAGGGCGACATATTTATCCCCGCCTCGCCCGTTTGTCGCTCGAATGCCTGCTGGCCAAGACTTCCCCCCGCAGATCCCCCAGACGCCTCTTCGGCAAAAAGCCAGAGCCAAGAGCTATCGGGCCACACTCTACTTCTTGGCCCCTGAGTCCAACTCAAGCGAAGCCTGTCAGGCCTCGCGGCCTGCACTACCGGCTGCCGCTTTGCTGCCATCGGAACCGAACTCGCATACTGCCTTCCGCCGCCCGACCTCTCCTAATGTGCGTGCCACTCGATTATTTTGCGACCCAGACTTATATGACGAGCGGTAGGTGAGATTACGTTAGGAGCTGTTATTTGTTGATTCATGCCGGCCTGCTAACGGAGTGGCGATGATCAGATATCGGAGCTCTCGGCTGGGGCCCGAATCGGCGCAGAGCCGAAGAGGAAATTCAACAAGACCCAAAACATCCACTTCTTTCTTCTTTTCATGCCTGTATGGCTGGAAAAATTTCAAGCTCACTCGCCAAGAGCAAACATGTGGGCGTGGACACATGCAGGGGAGCATCTTTCGAGAAGTCCGCTGCGAAAGAGAGCTCTCTCCTCAACCCACGCGTCCCTGTCAGCAATCGCCGAAACGGACCAGGGAGCCCTGCCGGATCAGTTCGGACGTCGAACTAGCGAGAACCGAAGACGGCTGCGATCAGCGGCCGTTCCTGAAGGCTCACGCAACATCTAGCCGCCCATCCCGGACCTCTCTGCTGCCTTCTGCCGACGCCGAGACATTGCCCATGGATAACATGACTTGGCTCATCACAATCCGTCCGCCACAACCCGTTGATATCTCAACATCCAGCCAATGGAGCAACCTGCGCCCCGTTGACAAGACCTTGGCGACTGTTTGATATAGGGAGATTTCCGGCGCAAACGGCCACGAGTTCCACGGGTTTGGCGAGGAAATCGCTGCTTTGGGCAACTGCTTCTTCTGCTGGGATTGCCGTGGGTCCCTGGGAGCTTACGGGATCTTCGTCCCGGCTGCCACTTGAGTTCTTCTCCAGATGTGAAGTTGACTTCGAAGTTGAGGTCACATGAAGCATGTTGCCCCTTGAGAAGAGCCGCTCGGATGACACCTGGTCATGGGAAGGTTTGCCCCGTTTTGTCGATTGATGGTAGTTCATCTAATGATACTGTCACGGAACGACGACGCGATGCTACCGGATTTCGGGACGCCAAAGCAAATCTAAACGGCGAGCCTCATTCCGAAAGGGGGCGAAATCCAATTTTGAGGGACGAAGCTCGAAAGCATAAGTAGGACGATGGTTTCCACTCGAAGAAGATGATTTGGACTCCATCCTCATCACGCAATCCAGCAGTTCCCATTCTTCACCGGCAGCATTCCACTCCCTTTGATTCTCTTCACGATGAAGTACACCATCACCGCTCTTTCCATGCTGGCCATGGCCGTGGCCCAGCAGGTCGGCACCGAGGAGGCTGAGGTTCACCCGAAGCTGAGCTGGTCCGACTGCACCTCTGGCTCCTGCAGCACCAAGAGCTCTGACGTTGTCATTGACGCCAACTGGCGCTGGGCTCACAACGTCGGGTACGTTGCCAATCTGATAGCGACTTGCTATTTCGCACGTGGGACTGACATGAACTCTCAGTGGCTACGAGAACTGCTACGATGGCAACCAGTGGACCGACAAGTGCTCCGGCCCTGATGACTGTGCTAAGAACTGTGCGGTTGAGGGAGCCAACTACTCGGGCACCTACGGTGTCTCAACCAGCGGCAACGCCATGACCCTGAAGTTTGTTCAAGAGCACCAGTACGGCAAGAACATCGGGTCTCGCATGTACCTCATGAACAGTGACTCCAAGTACCAGATGTTCACCCTCATGAACAACGAATTCGCCTTCGATGTCGATCTGTCTACCGTCGACTGTGGCATGAACAGCGCCCTGTACTTCGTTGCCATGAACGAGGATGGTGGTCTTGCCTCCGAGGCCAACAACGCTGCTGGTGCTAAGTACGGTACTGGCTACTGCGACGCCCAGTGTGCCCGTGACTTGAAGTTCATTGGTGGCAAGGTAAGCTCAAGATGTCGTCTTCAAAGAGCCTCATGAACTGACTCGACCGTGTCATAGGGTAACATTGAGGGCTGGAAGCCTTCCGCCACCGACGAGAACTCTGGCTTCGGCAACCTCGGTGCTTGCTGCGCTGAGATTGACGTCTGGGAGTCCAACAAGCAGGCTTTCGCCCTGACTCCCCATCCTTGTGAGAACAACAACTACCACGTCTGCGAGACCACCTCTTGCGGCGGCACATACTCCGAGGATCGCTATGGCGGTGGCTGTGACGCCAACGGTTGCGACTACAACCCTTACCGCATGGGTAACCAAGACTTCTACGGACCGGGCAAGACTGTCGACACCACCAAGAAGTTCACGTAAGTCAAACCCTTGGCATTGACAGACATATGGAACTCGATGGCTGATAACACTCAACAGCGTTGTCACTCGTTTCGAGAACAACCGCATGTCCCAGTTCTTCATCCAGGACGGCAACAAGATCGAGATCCCCGGCACCACCTACGAGGGCATCCCCAACGAGGATGCCGACATCACCCCCGAGTTCTGCGAGGCTCAGTTCTCCGTCTTTGGCGAGCGCGACCGCTTCAACGAGGTCGGCGGCTGGTCCAAGCTCAACAGCGCTCTCGAGATCCCCATGGTTCTCGTCATGTCCATCTGGAGCGACGTAAGTTTTGAACCTTCACTCTGGCACAAGACAGGATGGCGGCTAACAATTACACAGAACTTCGCCAACATGCTCTGGCTTGACTCTAGCTACCCCGTCGACCGTGCCGGCGAGCCTGGTGTTGACCGAGGCCCATGCCCCACCACCTCCGGCGTTCCCGCCGAGGTCATCGCCCAGAACCCCAACGGTCAGGTCATCTGGTCCAACCTTAAGTTCGGTCCCATTGGCAGCACCTACGATGTCTAAGGGATATGTAACGGATAGATGGAAACTTAGACCGTCATGTTGGGTATTGGCACTTTCAAAACTGTACATGGGGCAACACCGGAAAGGTCACGCCTTCGCTTGCTTTCTGTATATATCTTCTTTTCTTCCTCACTCTTTTGTAGATGAATGATAGTTTTGTACTTGGTCTTGACTCATTCGTTCCACACGTCACAAAGCGATACAGGGTTTCAAGTACTGCGCTTGAGTCCTATCCTGAAATTGACACTGTCATCGCCGCTTTCAGACGATATTTTCTTCTCATTTAGCATCGCTGGACGGGTTATAAATGTTGCTATTGTGCCAGAGTGGCTACCTAGTAGCAGGGTTGCTTTGATGCCATTTCTTCCGCGGAAGACAGCATTTCGTCAAACAAGGCTTTGACTGCAGGGCCAATAATATTTGCAGGCATGTCCCTCTCCAGATGTGTTTTTCCCGCCCGCAAATATTCAATGTCTGCTCTTGATGACATATTGGACGGGCATTTCATGATGCTTCTGTACAAAACAGCAATCGCCGCCATGTAATTAGTAGATTGAAATCTGGAAACCGTTAGATCTTCACTAGGCAGCTAGAAGCCGTAGAATGAACGTACAGAAGAGTATGCGTCTTGACATTCGTCTCTCCCATGCTACTCGATCGATTCGTCAGAAATAAATCAGTTATCAGTGAAGGCCTTTGAGTTGAAAGGTTATACACACTTGTTCAGGGCCTTGATGAAAGATCTCGCAGCTTCGGAAAACCCGACATCT